AGTGCAAATCCTGTGCTAAACAGATCGCGAGCCAAGACGAAAGTATCGACGACATCGATAATTCGACTTCAATATGCGGATGATAACGTTGTGAAGGAAAATATAGAGGAAGATCTTCAGGTACTTTATCAATGCATTCAACCAGGCAAACAGGAGAATCAGCCTAGAGATCAAATTTAACCAGACGCAGATTCTGCACCAACCCGCACCGGGCACTAATCCCCAAGCCCCAAGGATAATTATAAATGACCATTCCTTGCAGAACGTAGAACATTACCCATAACTTAGAAGCCGTCTGGCAGCAAATACAACCATTGACGCTGAAATCCAACATCGCTTGAATTGTGCTAGCGCAGCGTTCGGGCGACTTCTAGAGAGAGTCTTCAACAATCACGGCATCAGCGCTAAGACCATACTCCGCGTCTACAATGCAGTTGTAATACCAACACTTATATATGGCTGCGAAACAGGGACCACCTTCGAACAAACATTAGTGTTTTAGAGGAGGCCAAAACAACTAGCATGGAAGGCCTCAACAGTAAGCACCAACTTCGCTAGACAGGTCACCTCGTCCGCATGCATACCCGGAACACGTCTTCCACGACAGCTTTTCTACAGTCAACTGAAAGAGGGAAAACGAAATCAAGGAGGTCAACAAAAACGCTACAAAGATGGTCTTAAGGAAAATATGGCAAAGCGCCGCATCGATACCAGCAACTGGGACACGACGGCAAATGATAGAACCTCGTGGCGTCGGGTAGTACACGACGGACCACAAATTTTTGAAAAACAGCGACGCAGACACGAGACCGAAAAGAGGGACAGCAGGAAGGACAGAGAACAGAGGAAGAGACAATGCTGCCAAAGACTGGGTGTGCCAAGACTGTAGAAGAGTGTGCGGCTCCAGAATTAGTTTGTATAGCCTTCGGAAAACGCACAATCGACGACATTAGGAATAGAGTAGGAGATAATCATAGTCGGTATCGAGTGATCGCCTATGATGATGATGAAGATGGTATATGGTAAAGTGCATTTCCAGTGTTTGTGTTCTTTTTGTAGAAAAAGTTCGTGTCCCCAAATATAGATTCAAGAAAGAAGGAAGTAGTCGGATAAGGACAAAAAATGAAAAGCCGACCTTATCCGACTACTTCCTTCTTCCTTGGGCCTGGAACGACGAAGAATCCATCAAGGCTCGGAGTATTTCGAACGAGAAAGGCGAGGTGACGCGGAGGACAAACGGTGTACGATTCCGAGAACGTGCGATAAGAGCTGGTTTACAACGAGCGCTGATTGCATGTGCAATCAATGTGAAAGAAATTCTGGGTCCAGAATAGGCTAAGGTACCTATTTAGCCATCAAAAAACCATAGATAATGATGGTGTCCAGATTCTTATGATATAATGGATGTTGATTTGATGATACCAATGAAATTTTTCGATTCGTTTAAACTTTTTGGGTTCATATTTTGCAATAACCAGTTAAAGCACGGTCATTTTTCTGCATCTGATCTTAATTGAACCGTTCCAAACGAAATTGGAGCAAACTTATTATGAAATTTTTGAACAAAACTGTTTTGAGCTCAGCTCAGTGTTGTTTTATGTTGTTTAATATTATTTATAGAGTCTCTTCAAGGTGTGTTCTTCCTCAATTATAAAGATCCTTCATAGGTTTAATAAAATTAATTGCAATATTTAGTATATTAAATGTAATTTATGAGTAATTCCGACAAAGCAAATAGCACACAAAAACATATTTGCTTTTATTAATACTTATAATGGGGTTCTATTCAATTTTATGATTGCAATTATATTCGTGTCATTTACCTACTAGTAAAACAAAGGCCAGCTTTCTGGCAATGAATTAAGAAAAGATATACAATAGTTTTTCCGTTGTTGGCTGCCGTCACTAACCTGCGCAATATATTTTTGAAAGGCTTATAGCTTTAATCTGCCATAGATAAAAAATATATTTTGTTCAAGCCAAGTATCTGTAAACAAAAAGGTGTATTTTTAACTCTTGATTTGCTTATATCACTCATTATTCATTATCGCGTCAAATATTTACTCTTATGTTATATGTGCATAAATATTTTGACAAAATTATTAAATATACCGTTTTTAAAATGTCTCTTGAAATTATTTATTCCAAACATGACCTTTAAAAATAAGACGAGATATGAATAGGATTTCGTTCTGAGGATTGTGTGTGTTTTCCATCCCTTGCGCCTTGTGGCAAATTTGATGATTTAAGAATTATATTATAATACAGGATATATCAAGTGAAATCGAATGAGACGTGGAATTGAATAAAATGTGGACAAACTGGAAAGCAGACCGGGCGCATGTATCAAAATATTGACAAACATCAGAATTATCCTATATTCTTCAATCTCTCACCAAAGTCTATCTCTCACCTTCAACGACATACCTACGTAAAACATTTTTCAAGTTGTTAAGAATTGAATCCTCTATACTCTGTTTCCTTTTCCTTAGTAGTACAGGCAAAGGCAAAAAAAGATCGAAGATCATAAAACGACCATAAACCCTAGGCGGCCGATAAGGCCCAGGTAACTATAGGTTCGGTTATTATCCGATGGCAATGATCAGTAAGAATTTTGCACTTGTAAGTGGTATATGCATATAAGTGTGTTTTTATTGTAAATTTATTGTAAAAATTTCATGAGGTTTCACTCCGACAAAATGTAAGGGCGTTCTTGATCCAAAGCCAGGACTATATTGAATTGAATTGAATGTACAAGATGAAGGTACTTGATGCCTTTAAGTACTATCCGATGTATAGTCTCCAGATGTGCCAATATGACAGGGATCAGTAAAGCAACATTCTCTAGCGAAAGGAAAAGTGATAACTGTATGCGGTTGCCTGAAAAATCCAGGGCCGGCTTAAGGGGGGGGGCGAGATGGGCGGCCGCCCAGGGCGGCACGATCCAGGGGCGGCACGATCCAGGGGCGGCAAATTCATACCATTCAACAACAAAAAAAAAAAAATTAAACCAACGACTTAAAAAAAATTAAGAAATTAAATCGAACAGCGAACCAATTATACAGGGTTTTTGGTACATCTATAGAAGATTTCAATGAGTGATCGTTGGGGTCATTTGTAAGCTGTTTGACCATTTTTACCCTCATGCAAAGTTTCGCCGTTTTTTGAGATATCGCCATTTTAGATATTTTGAATCCATGTATTTCAACACATAACTTGGGCCATAGGCGTATCCAGGGGGGGGGGGGGGGCTGCCGGGCTGCAGCCCCCCCCAAGGCGAGTCTAGACTATTTTTTTTCCAGCGTATTTTATTGACATGTAAAGTTTTTGTTAAAAAAATAAAAATAAAATTTATTTCTTTCTATAATAAGGTTTTTCTATGGTGGGCGCCTAATGCAGCAAAGGGAATCAGTGCTTCATCTTAATCATCTTAAATGTCCGAAATACTTCCTCAGGGGCCCAAATCTCGTCTCAGGGAGTAGAGCAGTAGAGCTCTCCGATAGAACGCATGTTTTGTCTTTGTGTTCTCTCGGGGAGCTCTGCTCCCTGAGACAAGAATCGGAACCCAGGGAGAGAAGGTGCTCCGTGAACAAAATTTCTCCTTCTTACCAAAAAAAGTGAATAGGTGGCCGGATGCGAAAATTTTTGTCGCCCCACAAAAAAAAAGGCGCGTAAAGGTTGTCGCTCACTGGAGCGCAGCGCACGGCAGCGCGGCGGAGAGGAATTTTTAAATACATTGTTTTAAATGGGAGTACGCTCACTTGTCGGAAGAGTACCGATCGGCATACTCCCATTTAAAACAATGTATTATAAAAAGTCCTCTACGTCGCGCTTCCGTGCGCTGCGCTCCAGTGAGCGTCAGCCTTATACGATTCTTGACGCGTAACATTTGGATATGTTACAGGTGAATTCCTGACAAAAATATGCAACTTTCACATTTTTTAATTAATCTGTTAGGTAGTCATTCTGATAACATCTGTATACTTTTTTTCCAAAAAAATTTTTTAAACTGCTACGAAAACGCGGAATAGGAAAGGGACGTCACTTTCCCAAACATGCGAGGATGCCGAATTTCTCATTAGTAAACCATTCCAAAATATGGCTGATAAAAAACCAATTAACTATAAACTACGTAGCTGGAGTGGCTCGGCTCGCCCAGCCTATTTATAAAATGGAGCAAATTGAGATGGAGAATGTGGGGGATACCTATCTTTATTTACCTTATGGGCCAATTATGAAAATCTTTCCTTGTCTAAAAAATAATATATTTTTTGAGGTTAGGAATATACACTAAACCTAACAGCAATGTCAATGAACTAGAGAGAGAAAGGTATCCCCCACTATATAGCTATCTTATCTTATCTTTGGACGCACTGAGAGAGATGACAAATGCCATATCCGACAACGGTCGGTGCCACTCCAGGTACGTGTAGTTTATAGTTCATTGTAAAAAATTAGTCACAACCTATGACCTATTTTCGTCCTTTTCTACTTCATAAAAAAAAAGGATAGGTATTTCTAATGTGGCAATAAGCGCATGAATGCTTTAGGCACATGAAAATGGACTATTGTGCGTGCGCAGCTTTTTTTTTTTTTTTGGTCAACCCTTTTTGTTAACACAGCCCCCCCCCCAAACCAAAATCCTAGATACGCCAATGACTTGGGCTACATATTTTTTGTATCAATCATTCGGATTTTCTTTCCGAGTTTTTTGAAAGAGTGCATATCAGGAATATCGAAAAAAAAATTGAGAAAGGTTAAAATGGTTATTCCAAAAAAAAAAAAAAACAATATGTTTTAGGAATAATTCAAATATTTCCCAAAAATATCTTTTTGTCATACGCTCCCAAAAACAGCTATTTTACGGACTCATTCAAGTCCGTAAAATGCTTCTTTTTAGGCCTAGTCCCTAAAAGTCGTCATGGCAACCTTTACGGACTATTCCAAAATTCCATAGAATGTTAAATTCAAAAAAAAAAAACAGCTTCCATTATTTGTATTACTTATTTATATAGTAACAACATCAAAAGCTAACAACTAAAGTAGGTAATCTAATAATTATTTGACTGATAAGTTATTTGGAAAAATGAAAATGGAATGAACAATTTTGTGCATTTTGAAAACTGGTATCTGTGAACGAAATTACTTCTTTCCCATTGTCAGGTAAATCTATTTTCTGAGGTGGAGCAAATGCGAACGATGTGGATGTACATGGTGAAACATCCGTGGAAGTGGTCACGATTTTTTTTTTCTCCCATAAGCAGTTTGCAAACTTTCTTCTTTTTCTCAATAGATTCTTCTATATAACCTTCCGCCACTGTGGAGGACCTAAATAATTATTGTTGTTTAAAACAAGTTCGAAAAATATGAATATTTTTACCTCCAACCTCCCAGGCGTTTGAGCGCTGTAAAATCCACACCTGCATCTGCGACAAGAGTAGCAGCGCTACGTCGGAAACAATGACCTGTATATTCGTTCGGGTTTGGTAAATTTAAAAATGTTGCTACAATTGAAGGCATCTTTCCGAATGAATGAATGCCGACCCGTTGCATGGTGCATTTTCCTTTACGATAGGAGATGAAGACATAATCATGAGGTACATTTTTTGGCCGAAGACAAGCATATTTTCTATACAACTCAACTGAATTGGCACTGTTCCCTTCGCCCACCACCGGAAACACTCTTTTGATATTAGTCTTCGTATCTGCAAGAGTGACTAGAAGGCAGTTGTTGTCTTTTTCTGTGATGTCTTGCACTTGTAGAGAGTGCAATTCCTCTCTTCTACATGCTCCACAAAGACCAATGACAAGAGCAACCTTAAAATGAAATGAAATACAATAAAAAACCATCTACCTATTTAAAAATCATCTCCGCCAACTAACCTTAGTAAGTAAATAAGTTTCATCACTAGCCGTAGCCAGAAATTGATCGATCTCTTCTCTGGACAAAACCTTAGACTTCTTAGGCTCGTAACCAACCGAATTCCTCTTCAAAAAAGCAATTACTCTTGGAAATTGGTCAATGTGGATATTTTCTTTAACACTTAACACTGCTTTCAGCATGGAATATTTCGACCAAACTGTCGACGGTTTGAACGTTTGCGACTGTAATTTAAGAGAGAATTTTAATGGAAAAGCCTTGAAATACGCGTAAGTAGCTATTCAGTTTTTGAAATATTTACTTACTTTTTCGTGTAAATAATTCAGCAACACATCTTCATTTACAACGAATATACCATTTTCGTGTTTCCATTCAATAAAAGCATCATATTCCTTATGGTAAATGGCACGAGACTTCCTAGGAAGTAAATCCAATACGATTTCTTTCGCCTTATCAGCAATATATTCCGGATTTTGGAACATTTTATGTGAGTTTCCACAAACAATTCTGTGACCTCTAACAAATTTCAACGATTTCAACAAATGATAAAATCATCAAATAAACAAACTTGTCTTGTTGCTACGATATCACTTATTTCAGCCAACTTTTTCAAACTTACCATAGAAACTGACAATCATGTTCTGCAACGTTCACACTTCGCGAATGTTTTGCGCTGTTTATTGAACTTTCTGGATGCACCTTTATGATTTCAAAAATTAAGGAAAATCTGCAAATTTTAGCGTTCTGAAGAATTCTAAAAAGCGTATGACAAAAAATTGTGTTTGTCACACGTACCTAAACGAAGTTTTTCAGGACTCATCTGCTATTCCGGACTCGGCTGACGCCTCGTCCGGAAACAGCAATGATTCATCCTGAAAAACTTCATTTTAGGTACTTGTGACAAAAATAACTATAAAATGCTGATATCTCAAAAACGACAAAATTTTGCTTAACGGTAAATGTGATCAAACATCTTCCAACTTCTTATATGATATCCATTTACTAGAAAAAACTTCATCTAGAAGAGTTATCGGAATATTGCAAAAATTTATAATATGTATGTTCTCGTGCATGACAATTCTTTCGATGTCAATGTGGCATAATTAGCTGATGAACTATCTGTGATAGACGTTACTGGAGCCCAATCAAAATTCTTTTGATGTGTTAAAATAAGCACTCCAACTGGATATTGCACCGAATGTTGTTGTGGCCCTCAGATCCTCAGAATTTTATTACTATTGCCCATAACTCTTGCAAGTGTTAAGAAAAGTTTCTCTAAATTAAAATTAATAAAAACGTATTCAAGATCATCTCGGCCAAGAAAAGGTAAGCAGTGAGCATGTTAGCAATGATTGCTATTGAGCATGAAATCGATGCTAAATTAAAAATGAATCATCTACTTGAAGATTTTGCTGCATTCAAATCTCGAAAATATCTTAAATAATATCCCAATAATTTTATTGAAAATGTACCTACTTACCCTAATGACACAAAAGGTACGATGGACGTTTTTTTTTTAAGTCCGTTTAACGTCGAAACATCCGAGGACTAAAATAGAACGTTGTATAAACGTTTGCACAAAATCATCACGACGAAAAAAGACGTTCGAAATATATTCACAAAACGTCCATAAGCATAAAGTTCTGAAAGAAAAGTTTTGGAAACTACTGTTTCTGCACGTGGTAATGTCCATGTCCGAGTGTTTTTAAAAAGGTGAAGAACGGATGTACTTTAGACTTTTGATTAAGTTGTTTTCAAAACCTCTGTTAGGAACAATTAAAGACGTCAGAATGTTTTCTATGAGTTCGTAAAAGTATGTTTTCATGAAAAGTCATGAGAGACGTTTTATGAAGGTTTCTGTTGGTTGTTTTCGTGAACACCTTTGGAAACATGTATCCCACGTCCACACGTCCGGAAATTAGTTCGAATAAGACGTTTTTAAAAGGTTGTTTGTAACTGTGATATTTGCACTACCTATAAAATAAGTCTATTGGATGGTGTTGGATACTTTGAAGAAAGTCCAGTGAATGTTCATATAGAGATCTTTGAAAAACGTCCTTTTTCGTTTTTAAGCGTTCGTATTAAAGCATTTTTGAAACGCTCATTTTCGACGTCTATATGACGTTTGGAGTGACATTTGCACCAAATAAAAATGCACCTTTGGATATTATCAGTTTCTTTCACTGACGTTTTTAAAACGTTCTGACGTCCGATAGGATAGTTTTTTGAAACGTTTCTGTGCTATTAGGGTATATCTACATAATGTATCTGTTGATTGTTGCCAGGAGCTTGGATTAGCTGACTCTTACTTTGTTTCTTATGTTTCTTGTATTCTTATGTTAGTTTTTTTTTTGTGGTTACCTAAGTTACATAATATAGTACCTATGTGGTTTTATTGCTATGATGCTATGTCTTACTGTTTCGTGTAATTATTTTTTGTTTCTACAATTCAAGATCTCTCACATTTTCCCTAAGCAGGCCATGGGATGGGGCGGCAAATTTACTCATTGCCCAGGGCGGCAAAATACCTAGAGCCGGCCCTGGAAAAATCGCCCGGAAGAAAACCGTTAGAAGTTGAGCTAGCAATAAATAAAATACGATGGAAAGTACATTCGTTTTATTTAAATAAGGAGATACCAACATTAAATAAAATATTAGCAGTAATAAGGGCGGACGAGAATACACTAGAAATTAAACCTTTGTTGCGAGAAGCAGAGCAGAAAATCATTTTGAATCAGAAAAAAGAAATAATCTGTTGGAGGAGACAATAAGATCTAAGTTACATTAGAAAGTGTACAGAAGAGAACAAAGGAATATTTATTACTTGGAACAAACGCGGGTTAACGGAGGACACACAGTAAATAAATTCTGGCAAGATGAAAATGTCCACAATTCTCACCAGGCTTTTGTGGATGGCCTTCCGACTGGCTTAAGAATGCATTGGTAGTAATAGAGGCTTTTTAAATGGAGGTTTGCTTGAATTTGAATTAAAATCAACCAACGATTACCTACCATCAATAAATGAGGGCCGATGTGGACAACGCCAGCTATTATTCCAGACTAGCAGAAAAATTACCCTCATGTTCCTGGCGGAGAGAAGACATTCTTAATTTGCTAAATGAAAAAAGAATACCCTATGAAAATGATATTTAAAAAAAAGCTCTGAAAAACAAAAATCACAGTTCAAAAAACATGTTCTTGATGAAATGGCTAAGGAACGGGATATAATTATACTTCGCTTGCCACCCTACCATCGGTAATTAAATCCGATTGAACTAATATGGGCTCAGAGATTTATAGCAAGAAATTACACCACCTCCAAATTACAATATATACGAGCACTGTTAAGAACATCGTTGAATCACGTAACTGCAGAAAACTGGAACAATGCTGTAAACCATGTAATGAAGGAAGAACAAAACATGTCACGTGGAACCTTGACAACCTCGTGAAAAAGACTTACCTAATTTCAACTGCGACACATCTGAACCGGTAACCAGTGTGTCGGTAAAATATTGTTGAAACTAGGTTTATGCTTCTGCTACATTTACGTATTTTACCTACAATGCTCACCCTGTTCTCGACCTTTTTTTTTTTGTGTTTGAATTAATAATGAGGTTCTGTGCTCTCAACCTAAAGGAAACAGAGTATATAGGTCATATCAAAAAATTGACAAAATCCGTATAGAGCCTTAAAAATCCCCTGTTCAAGGGAGGTTTAAAGGGGGGTAGAGGGGGTAATTACCCTGTCCCCCAGACAAGGATTTTTTTTTATGCACTTAAGAATAAAATTTTAACAAAAGGCAAGTTCTATAAAGTAAAGCATAGAAGGCATTGTATAAATTGATAGGCTCGCCAGTATCGACGTACCTACTACTATTACAGTGAAATAAAGGATATTTCATTTGAAAAAAAGCTATGGTTGTTTGAAATGTCTGGTTTTGTGTACAGTGTACAGTTACAGAATTGCGAACACCCTGTAGAATATTATCAGATTTTCATAGGACCATGAAGTAAATGTAAGTATACACTAACACCCTGCAAAAGATTTAGCTTAAGGATCTCAAATGAATAAAATGTGTTGGTTTTTGCTGACACATGCAAACCACGATTTTTTGAAAAAATTTCAAATATTTCAAAAAGGGTCGAGTTTTACGGGTCAATTCTCTGCACATCTGTAAGCAAATCTATAAATTTCTATAAGCCCGCCCCCGAGTATAAGCCTATAGATACTGCAAAACGCATCGATTGCCAAACACCCGATCGGAAATATTTACGATCTTATAAGATATTCTGTGATCTACACGAAGTGCAAAATGCAAATTGTCTATAGGCAGCTATAGGCTTATAGAAATTTATAATTTGCTCACAGATGTGCACAGAATTGACCCATAAGTATAGGTAATTCCTAACAAAAGGTATGTAGGATTTTTGGAACAATCCATTAATGTTCTAAAATGTAGGGTCTTCCATTTAAAATACAAAAGGTCTGTCGCATACCTTATTTACGGAACACCCTGTATATTCAAAAATATTTTTAAGTAATGGACCTTAGAGTATTAAACAACTTTGTAATTTAATTTTTTTTTTCTTGCATTAGCATTACCCTATAACTATTCTGCCGGCATCGGGATACATTTTTGCTTGAGGTGTGTTTCAAACGATTTTCAGGTGCAAATTTGACCGTGGCCACCAAAAAAAAAATTTCGTCTCCGCCGGGAAGCCATCCGACACTTGATGATTTTCCCGTCATCCATTACCCCTCCCAGAAAATCATCTATGGACCCCCACTGTTAGCCGTGCGTTATCCTTTATGAAATATCCTTGATCCTAGATAAAAAGATGAATGATGAGGTACCTAATCAAAGCAGCACAGTCCTTTGTTACAATTAAAAAACATATAGGTACGCACAATTCTCTGGGGCGAATGAAATAAGTGTTTGTGTTGTAATAATATCTTTAGCGAGCTGGATAATGATAATGCTGCAAAATGATTCCTGACGATTACGATAAACAAAGGACTATAAATAAAATCAGTAAGGCCGTCGGGCGAGCAGAGCTAGCGGGCTACCGCGGGGCTGCGCGGTGTGGGGCGGCAAACCGGCGGATGTGATGCGTTGTCTGCACGTTGCATTTTGTTATTCGCGTTCGCGTTCGCGCCACCCACATTAACATTCTTTAGTTTAGTAACCCCAAAATGACCCGAACGGATCCGTCAAGGCCAAAAGTTGAGTAATTGCCGCTATGCCGCCCGAGTCGATGCTAAATCGGTTTGTCCGACACGAAGGACATTGCACTAATCAAAAACACTTTTATTATTTTCGTTATTATAATATTATTTATTGGCCAGTCAAAAGTGGGCACGATATGTTGCGCACTTTTCTTTGTGTCCAATTTTTTTTCTTAGAATTACTGCATTCGTACACATGCCCGCTGCCAATCTAATAACTCATCAACAGCATTACCCAGTTTCTTTGTTTTTATGCTTTTTATAGCGAACCATTGTAAGGATACTCACTCCCACATAGGATCTAAGTATTTGAAGGCTTATACTTGAAAATGTCTGTTGCATCTAATTATGTCGAGTCAGCTTTGTTAGTCCCAGGTGTCCAAAATGGAATGAGCTGAATCTAAGGAAAAATGCCAACATGTAGCAGATGCATGCCTTACATCGGACAAAAACAAAATTTGCATCGTCACAAAAAAAAACAGTGTTGACTTGCCAGGTTAAAAACGTAGAACCTATTACATCGTTTATATCATTATTATGCAATTTTACTGGTGTATATTTGAGAATAGTACTTTTTTGGGCGATATCAAGGGGGTTTGATTCACTAGTTAAACCAATCTTGCTCGGTAGCAACCCTATGGCTGTAAACCCTACTTTTCTATTTGGGATCTTATATTGTACTCAGACACAAACATAATAGATTATAATGGCGTTGATTCTGCATTTCATGCATCTGCCCATTCACTTGTATGGTGTAGGTTAAAAGTAATTGTTTCCAAGCCCAAACCTTTTTTGTTATCTACTAATATAGAAACATTTGTCAATTTGAGGACCTTCTGCTTGTTCCGTTAGATAATTTTTATTATGTCATTGACATCAACAGAAAACTTAATAAGTATTGAGACTTTTTGACATAGGTAGGTACCTTTAAAAACCTTTAGAATCACAAGAAAGAGAGCTCCTTGGATCACTTGGACAATGTAGGTACCTTCGATAATTCGTATATCTTCGTATTCACCCAAGTACGAAAAAACAAAACAACGCTGATTGGGATGATTATAGGCAGCTTCAAAATGATGTACCTATAGTATATACCGTTTGCACGAAAAAAGTCGCATGCACAACATTAAAGTAAGAGATTGATTCAGCCCATAATGCCGTAACATTGTTTCAGCACACGGTCAACCCTATAAAGGGGGTGTGCGCCAAAAAAACAACTTCGTCTCAAAAAAAAGAGAAAAAAAATCTAAGAATAACAGTGAAATCCGCACCCCTCTATGACAAATAATACCGCAGATATGGCTCTATGAAGTTACCGCATCTCACCCTATGACGTCACGAAAGCTCAAGCGACGCACGAGAAAGTGGAGTTAATTAAATTAACATAATGTTTTTCCTGTGTTACCTGCAATAATCTAAACAAAAACCACTCACGCGTGCCGGGAACAATCAAATTAACAATGCGGAGCGCGGCTGGACGAAGTTCTCGTGACGTCACGAGAGCGTCGTCCACACTTTAAAGCCGTATATCTCAGCGATGGTTTATCGTACAATAACGAGGTTTGAACAGTTATTCTTAGATTTTTTTACACTAAAAATTTAATTTTTGGCGCACACCCCCTTTAAATTCAATTCCGAATAGTATACAGGATTTGGAGAAAACCTACTGCAAAGTTTGGAATGTTTATATTTATTAAAGTCCAATATTTATCAGAAGAAAATAAAGCTCAAAGACTAATATTTTGTCAGCAGATGCTCGAAACTTGGAACATGACCCACAATTTCTTTCATGGGCAGACAAGTCATCATTTACAATAGCAGGCATTCCAAATCAGAAAAATTTACTCCATTGGTCCATAGAATCCCTAAATAATATTTGGGAATTAAATTACGTACTCCGGGCGTCGTTTGATAAGAAATAATAGAATTATCGGCAACCTTTATTTAAGAATTTCAAGAGAAGATGTGAAAGAAACGATATCTAATATGCCACTTATTGATGTTGTAGAATTTATATGACAACAAGATGGAACGCCTGCACATAATGTTGCTGCAGTTAGAGATTATTCAAACAATAAATATCCCATGTGGATTGCACGAAACCGAACAATATTATGACCCGCTTATAGTCCAGATCTCACTATATAGTATAGTCAATCTAGGCAGGTTTATGCAGGTGAGGTAGAAAAAATTAGTAACAAAGTGATCTCTGCGAAAATGAGTAGTCGATAGGGTCCTAATTAATCCCTCAAAAATCGCACTTTGTCGCATCGGTGGAACTTGAAAAAAAATGGCCGCCATCTTGATTTTTTTCGGATTTATTGAATATTTCGTGAAGTATGCATTATATCAAAAAAACTCAAGAGTGCTTTTTTGTGGAGAATAAAAAGTTACTTTTGAACTTTAGGTAAAATCGCGAAATGTATGGATTTTTCTAATAAAACTTAAGGATGCCTATTAGTAGAGGATTAAAGATACCTATATTGAGATAAAAAAAAACAACAGTTATTATCGAAAAGTTAGGTGTCAAAGGTTTAAAGCATGTTCTCAAGTTTCCAGTCTTTCTCTTTCACTACTGTGAAGGTTTAGTGATTTTTTTATAAACCTTAAAGTATAGAATTTAATTTATTTGAATTATTTAGTGTCTATCCAGACAGTACACAGACATCCTAAAGACGTCCCTAAGATGTCCACAAACGACATTCAGGACGTCTTTCAGACGTCGGCTTACGTCTTCAAGGCGTCTTAAAGACATCTTAAAAACGTCGTGTTACAAAACCCAACGTCTTTCAGACGTCTGCCTAAAGACGTCTTCAGAACTGATATTTTATTATTATTACTCATTTTATAACTTTCAATTTTGGTCTATTCTAAACGCTAGGGTCTTAAATTATTGATTTCTTTAAACGGAAACATACGAAAAATTCATTTTGGTAGAAAACTATTTGAAGAGACAGGACTGAAAATTGAAAAACAAGTCAAGAGCCTGAAATTCTAAAATACAGGAATAATGAGAATTCAAGAACATGGAAAAAGAAAAATCTAACCAAAAAAAAATTAAGAATTTAGGATAAAGAAGTAAGGAAAAATCAAGAGCCTGGAATAGAAAAAATCATAAAAATTCAAGAATTTGAATTGAAAGAGGAACATTTTCTTGTTAATATTTCATTATTATTTATTACTCATTTTATTTTTATTATTATTATTTATTAGGCTCTCTGGCACAATTCTGAGGTTTGTCTAAAGTGTTCCAAGTTGACTGGGTTCTGGAGCATTCTAGAAGTTTTTCAGTAATTTCTAAATTGGGAAGTAAGTACGCTTTTTCGAAGGATCCATGTTAAATTTCAAAATGTTCATTTGACAGATTGACAGATTTTTAAGTATTTTAGAGCCCTATTGAAGTTCCAAAGTGAAGTTGAATTGGTTTAAAAGCATTCTAAAAGGTTTCCAGTTCTAAATTGAATCGTTATTGTTCTAAAATATCTCTGAAGTTTCTAAATTGTTCCAAAATACTCCATTCTAATAATAATAATAATAATAATAATAATAATAATACATTTATTGTCATAATGCCATAAATTACAAAAATGGTTTACAATTTTATTCTAAAAGTAACACATGCATTTATAGCTGACAATAGGCCTTAATAAATATGCAGACATCTGGAAGTTCCAGATACTGTTCAGGTCTCAATTTAAAATGACAATCTAATATTATATCAATTTTAAAACATTATTAACTGCGAGAAAAAAATACAACTACACGATCTATCATTATTAAAAATTACTTTGATTCCAAACACAATTCTTAAGGGTAAGGAGAGGACAATGGTAGGAAAAATAGGAAATAGAGGGGCTATTGCAATGTTTACGGAGTGGTGTTCTGAATGGTTCTGAAGTTTTCAAACTGTTCTGAAGCGCTACACAATGCTGTTGGAAATTATTAGTTGAATTTTAAGTGTTTTGAACTTTCGAAAAGGCTTATTATTGAAGTTCTAAAGTGTTCTGTAGGATTCTAAATGGTTTCAAGTAACTTCTAAAATTAAATGAAAAACGAATTCTGTGGGAAATCTTTAAGGCGTCTTAAAGACATCTTAAAGACGACGTATGTTACAAAACCCAACGCCTTTCAGAAGTCTGCCTATAAAGACGCCTTTAGAACTAAGACATTCTTCGTCTCCAACGAAATTTTTAAAAGAAGTCTTTAAATCTCTTTTGGTCTTCAGACGGTCAGATGTAATGCAGAATGCAGACTTAAAAAAGACGTCTTTAAGACTTTGTGTGCTGTCTGTGTAGTTTCCTGCCCAAATGTTTTTCTGGTCATATGCGTTTTTGCTTCCTCTCAACAAAAATATTTAGATCATCAAATTTATTGAATTTTTCTTCTATTAAATGTAGTTTTTAATTCTGCACTAAAAAAAAATAATACTTATTTGAGTTTTTTTCAGATGTTTTGAAAAATTCCATGTTGCCAAATGAAATAAATGTCAATAACTTTTTCGTTTGCAGCTGATGGTCTTTAAATTTCTCCCATTACAGGTAACTTTTGATTCTCCACAAAAAAGTCCTCTTGAGTTTTTTTGATAT